ATTTTAAAATAATTTTTTCAGACAATACTTTATTTTGGATAAGATTTATCAATGTTTGTATGATTTCTAAAACCAAATCAATAATTTTAATGCCTGTAGCTAATTATACTATTAATTATTAATAATATTCAAAAAATATTGAATATATGGACTTATAAATTTTKCGTCTACGTTGGTGTAACATTCTATATATTATTTKAACCAGTAAGCTTTTACTTTAAATTAGTAAAAATAAATTGATTTTCAAATAAAGTCGTCGTAATGAGAAAATAATCTGAAGGTTTTTCATGAATAGCTTGTTCTAAATGTTATAATATGTCAGTTCCTACATTGTGAGAAAAATAAGTTCAAACTAAGTGAAAAATTAGAGTTTTGTTTAAAAWTCCATAAATCATTGCACTTTATAATTAACGTATTTTAATAAAGCGTTAATATGAATACAACATATTATAGTATGTGTCTAGTCTAAAACATTATATAATTATTTACGGTGTTTCAATATTTATAAAATAATAAAATTTACAGATATCTTTATGAAAATTGAATTGTTTTTTCCAATTTATTATTTCCAATTTTTGATTGTGAATAAAAATCAGATCAAATATACATCAGATCGGCTTTTCTGGTTTTAGATTCTTTGCGGAGTGATTAATGAACATATTAGCTCTACAGTGTTATTTTTTTATATGTTTTAAGACAATTTTAATAGTGGACAAAATGCTTTGAATTATGAGGGTGATTACTGTTAACAAATTGGATTTGGCACTAGTTTAGTGGATAATAGTACTAATTCCCCAAACCTTTTTTATTTTTTTTAGATTTTGGGTTTGAGTTCACTTTTTATGAAAAAAATGGTCATTTGATATTTAACATTGAGGGTGATTTCTGATAGGAAAAAAWTTTTTTGACAAAAATTAGTTCAATAAATAGTATTGCTAGGTATTTACTGAATAATAGAATGATAAATTATTAATATACTATAAAATATTCATAGAAATATAGGTAAACAAATAGTTTCCACTTCAGAGTAGTTTTCCGACCACAATTTTGATTATTATTTCTGATTTTGTCGATATTTGTATTATTTATATTTAAATATGGGCTATGAGCACTACACAAAACAAAATTCTTTTAATTACCTTTATAAATATCATGCAGATGCTACGTAAGTTAATGTYCGAGTAACCATACCAATATTATACGGTTTGTTCTTTACACGTATTCAATACAACACGAGTAAAATGTAAAAACTGCATAATATATTATATGTAGTTTGTTTGTTTTTTTATTTTTTTTTTGATGAAAAGAATTTTATTCCAATTTCAAATAAACAAATTATGAACACTGTCAAACAGTAAAAAATRAATAAACAAAAAACAATTATTATCTATAATAATATATAACACAACTTGAAAGCATTTTAAAACCATGGTAGTTAATATAATGTATAAAAATCGAACATTTTACATTTTATCAACGATGTTTGAAACCTGTCAATTCATTAAATCTGCAACCACGTAAAGTAATTTAAATCACGCTTATATAATATAATATAATTATAATTTCACGTTAATCGGTCCAATTTAATTAACATAGATACATTTAAATTATAATTAGAAGTCGGTAAAGCTTTTTCTGCGAGTATCTTCTCGATTGGGTTGGTTATTGAATGTCACTGGTCTATAAAATATCGTATCGCCTTGTTTCCACCCTCTGGGTGCAGTATTATAGTTGCTCAATGATAAATAGTCTTTATATGATGGCAATTGAACATTTTTTGACTGATTACAATTTGACGGATCCACAGATGCAGGATCTGTTGTAAAATAAAATATAAACATTATAATAATATTATATAAATAATGGATTTCAAAACGTTATTTTCAAACAATTTAAGTAATAAATTCGACAAAGGTAGGTATATCAAAAAAATAAATAAATTTAACTGTTTAATTTTCAAACGTAAATAACATTTTTATTTCGTATTTGATAAAGTTCAAGAATAAAATATATTTTAATTGAAAGTAAACTTTGGGATTAACTCATATTTTTTATATTATGTTTTTATGTATTAATAATACATAATGAGTTATTAAATTTCAAATGAAAAACTAACTTGTTCAACGATATTCAAATAATATGTTATGATATAAGTGTAACTTTTTAACTATAGGTACATCGGGTACCAACCAATAGTTACTCAGTAAGTATTATTATTTTTTTTTAGTTTATTAGATAAATATTATACGAGTAGTCGATACAGAAAATTATAAATACAAATAAAAGAAAATGTTTGAGAATCTATTCTATTAAACGCATGTTGAATATTCTACTTAGTTTTAATTTTTCTATAGCAATAAATATTTGATAATTATTTATATTGGAATTGTATTATCCATTATGTGCATTAGTATTAAAAATGTATGGATTTAATTTTCATCAAATCTTAGATATATTATAATAATTTTATAAAACTGAATATTCGAAAGATAATAAAAAACAGTGGTTTTTGTAAAAATAAAACATGCATAGATTGGAAAGGATAGTTTATCGTATATTCAAATGATGCATTCAGAGAACGTGCAAAAATCAAAGGCTGAATTATTATCTTGCCTGCTGTTTTATGTGGTGTATTATAATTATTATTATACTCTTGATGACGTTCATCCCGTGAGCTCTGTTTTTGAGCAAATAACATACTAGATTCTAGACTATCTGGAGTGGCTAATTGTCTAATGGTCTGAAATTTCATATCACCCCTTACGTCAAATGATAATGAAACGTCATCAGTATACTCAGATCTATCACCATATTCAGACCTATCAGTGATCCCTGATTTATCTGCATATTCAGATCTATCACCAAACTCAGACTTATCATTTATTTCAGATTGATCGGCATAATCAGATCTATTGTCATATTCAGACTTATCGTTTTTTCCAGTTTGATCTATGAAATCAAATTTACTGCCATATTTAGATGTATCATTGACCTYAAATGTATCTACATAATATTCAGACTTAAYATGATGTCCGGAATAAACTTTATCAGCGCAGTTATRTTGTTCATTGGTTCCATAAGAGAAACTTCTCGTTTCGACAGCTGTATTAGCTATGTAAAATCCATTTTCTTCAACAATATTTGGCGATTCATTCCCATTTCCTAAATTACCATCAATTGATGCTGGTTTTGGATCATCGTGTAAATGTTTTATCTCTTCACTTAACGGTATTCTTTCTTCAAGCTGTAAATATCGCATTACAGGTCTATTATTATGCTCAAATGTGTCTATCAATGTTTTAACGGGTAAAGATCTTTCTTGTATAACAGTGTTTGGTGGTTCTTCCTTTTTAGCCCCTACGAAACTACTTGGTGACTTAAGCGAACATCTACTTTCAGCACGATTCGGTTCAGTGTAATTATTTATATTAGGCATATGTTCTTCAAACGTTTTATGTGATTTGGGGACAAAAACGTTGTAATTATTACATTTAGACTTATCGTTTTCTTTTATCTGTAGTTCGACTTTTGGTTTTTCTTTTTCATATTGCAGAAGAAGCTCTTTTTCGTTTGTTTTTTCTTCAGTAACACTTTCTGACTTATGAGTTTCACTCATTTGATCTAAGCCTGGAGTTGATCTTGGCGTAAATTCAACTTTATGAAATTTGGGTTCTTCATAGTAACCATGATAAGTTGCTGGGGATTTTGGTACTGGAGTCAAAGTTAGTGAATTATCTTTATTGATGGTAAAAGTTGTAGAAGATAAATTTTCAGAAATTTTAGGATTAAGACCAGTTGAGTAGATCGAAGCTTTATTCAATAAACTAACTGGAGAATTTGGGGTACCACGAAAAATCTGATCCAGTTTAACCGAGCCTACAAGCAGCAAAAAATTAACTTATGCAATTAACGATTGTTAACAATATTTACATACCATAAGTAGGTGGCTGTTGTCTGTTACATTGCGTATTCCAACCTCTAGGTATTTTAGGCATGTATATATCTTGGTAACTTTTTGGTGTTGCGGTTCTTGTAGGAGTTGAACAAACAGTTGCTCTTGATGTTCTGCCTCCATCTTTAATTGCTTCTAAAGCACCTGAAGTTGGAGCAACAATATATCCTCTTGGTGGAAAATTTGGAGCCATTTCTTGAAAGGCTGACTCAACAGATCCGGTTTCCAAAGCTGCCTCCCATGGTGATTTTATCAATCTTAAACGGGGTTGAGTGAACCTTTGCTGAAAATGTATAAATTTAACTAATATTATAAATCAAGTATACATATATATATATATATAATAATATTTGTTACACTAAAATATAATGACATGTATATAATATGTAAGTTAGAATTTACATGATTTAATTAATAACACCTACTTGAATTTCATTCATTTTTTGAATATTTTCCGCTCTCATGGTACCTTGTTGATGATTTGGTATATTATTACTAGCATGTTTAATATTTCCTGGCTCAGAAAGACTGGGTGAAATTGATTTCACATTATGTTCGTCAACAATCCAATTTTCCGATCTTTTACGTCTCTTTGCAAATAATGCAGCGCCTTTAAAATATATTTATCAATATAATTAATATACTAAACAATAAACGATAAACGACAAATTAAATACAACCTTTTCCTTTTGTGGCATTTAAGTCTCTAACTAAATCGAAGCATACTTCTGGACTAAGACAAGGTTCAATATTTTCTCCAAGTTTACGTAAAGTTTGTAAATCTTGTACTTGACCTCTAGGATCCATAACTAACTTCAGTTTTTGTTTTGATTCTGAGTTCTAGAAAAAAATGTATAAGATTGTTGGTTGTTTTAATTAGTGMAATACAAGTAWAGATTACTTGTTCGGTAGATTCATAATTTTGTTGATTGGCCCCGAGTGGAAAAWTTGATGGTATAGGGCCTTTACCTTCTCCTATTTATTATTAAATGGTTAAAATAAAAAGTTATTTCCTCATAAAAATATTTTTTAAATACTGTTTTAAATATTATGTTTATTTAATCACCTTCATGAACCCATTTAACAGATCTTTTTTTGCGATTGACGTACATAGATTGTCCTTTACTTTGTTGATTACTTATATCACTTAATGAGCTGGATATACGACGAGCCAACTCGAATTGCTGTTCCACTGTTGGGTGATCTGGACCATAAAAACTGCTACTTGCATACATTTTCCCTAAAATCAATAATTTTAGATTGGTATACAAAACACGAATAAATTAATTTAATAGAAAAAATTACTGTTCTTAAATGGAGAAACTTCCCCAGAATCTGTGGCTGGCTTAAAAATTTTGTCTAAATCAACTTGTTTATGGCTCAATCCATCATCAGCATTAATTGTTATGCCATTAGACTCCTAAAAAAATCAACAATTATAATGTTTAAATTACTTGTTAGGTARCTAATACATTCGGATATTATTTTGATCAATATATAAATTATAAATTTATAATGTATATTGTTACAACATAATTTTTATTATTATTTTTTTATTTTGTCAATATGAGATTTTTATATTTTTATATTTTAAAAATGTATTATATACTTATGCATCATTGTATTTATAACTTGTTGTAAAATTATATGAAAATGAGAAAAATAATTGAATTAGTCGAGTAAAAGAAAATATTTAAATTGTGTTTTATGATTACCAGCGGGATGTGGCTAGGTCCACGCAACAGATCACTAAGGATGTGATTTGATGAAAAATAAATCAACTGTGTGACGACAATGGCAATGTTCCAAAAACGTGATTATATATAGCACTTGCAAATCCATTATTGGGGCATACTAGTCAGCCAAGTTGGACAAGGAGCAACTAACTTATAAACGACAATTGTCGGATTAAACTATTATAAAAGTATGAACCATTAAGATAAATATTTAGCTAAAGGAGGTTTAAAAAGACTGAAAAAATTCAATATATATATAATGTATTATGATATCAACTTTTTGAACATTTTGAAAATCYATTTAATAATGTTATACACTCAAAGATATTTAAAACCAATATTTATTAGACCAATCAGATATAGCTTTCCTTGGCAATAGCCCATGACCCATTGCCCAAACCAAAGAGCCGGACCAGTTAAAATAAAAATTAAATACATGTTGCATTCTTCATATCCAATGATGATTAATTAATCGTACATTTTATAAAGTTCTGAAACATTATTATTATCATTTAGTAAAATGTGATGAAATAAAAATAACATTATGKATTGTCATTTTTTTTCAATTTAATTTACTACTTATTATCTATTTATTAAATCTACACCAGCTTCATTTATAAAATWAATCAGCTCACATTGTTTTGTAATTWAGACATATATTATTATACTTAATGGTGTTAATACATTATTAATTATTATCCACATTGTGAAATGCAATATTAAACCCATTTAATACGTTACTATTCATYTTCAAGTATTTATTATTGAATTAGGGCTCAATAAAGTTACTGGAACTTTATAAACATTTTAATAATATAATTTGTGTAAATGTGTGTAAAACAAACATTCACAATGTAAAAAAAACAATAAAAATAATTGTTAGCTTTTAATTTAAAAATAAATATTAAATATTATTAAAATATTAAATTATTTGAATACGTATGTTGTTGATATATTTTAAATTATTGTGTATCTAATATTTGTAAAAACCCTTGTTTTTAGTTATGTGTATGCAATCTAAAAAATTAAATTGTGTTGTAACGTATAGCTGGTAGATAATTTAAAACGTATTATCTGAAATATTAAATCAACTATTTCACTAACTAATAAGTTAGTAAAATATTTATATATTGATTTAGAAGAGTATAGCTATAATACTCTTTAGCAACTAAATATCTTTTGAAAAATATGATTTTTAATAATTCAATATACTCCATAGAACATAATTTGACATTGAAGCTTATTTCTACCGTAAATTTACTAGAATCGTAATACTAATTYGTTGAAATAAAAAAATTAAGTATTAAGTTCTATTTATAATATTTATTTAATAAACTACCATTTTAATGATAAATACTTAGTAATAAGTCAAGATAACTAGTTAGAATTCCCGTATTTATCACAATATTAAATAAAAGTGTATTTGGCAAAGTTACATCATTAAAGTTCAGAATAGTACATCATGCTGAAATCTTTAAAGATATTAAATTTCATATCTGATTATTATTTAAGTTATTATTACAAATTTTTA